TATTTATAGTAAATGACAGATTTAAAAATAAGTATAATTTGGAAGAGTCAACAACTTCGTAATAATGCTTGGTACTATACAACACTTTCAATACAACAATGCACATTTGTATTTTAAAAAAAAAATTTATTAAAAAACGTTCTAATTACATTATAATGTATTTTCTAATGTTAAACTTAATTTTATTTATAAAAATGTACAAATTAAACGAAAACCTATTATGCAATTAATGTGTTTTGTCGACATTTGAGCATTTATGGTCTATGTATTTTGTTTAAATTTGTTAATATTATAATTATATATAAGTTTATATATTAATTATATAAATTTACATATTATAAAAAACAATATTAGTGTGAAATATTAATACAAAAAATTATGTTACAGTATATGCAGAATATTGGAATTTATGACAGAAGTTATTATAAGTAAAATAAACGTCAAACTTTATATTGAAGTAAACTAAAATACACATTATTTGATTTATATAAATTCTATTAATTTGTTATACATTATTAACTTATAACCAAAAATGTGATACAAATAATACACCAATGTTTACAACAAGATTTTTATTAATAATGAAATCTCCCAATTTTATGATGGTTCCTATTTATTCATTATGTGATTATGTTATAATAAGTAATAAACTATAAACAAGTTAATTTACAGTGAAATATATTGACTTAATTAACTTAATTTAGCTCATTTGGAGACACAGTATATTACTATATGTTTTACACACATTTAACACCGTTTGTTACATGCAATAATTGTAATTTAATTGCGTTAATATTAAAACACTATGTTATGAATAATAATGTGTTAAATGACCAAAATACTTATAATTGGTATAGATTTAACATGATATATATATTTTTATTAAATATTAATATTTTTTGTTAAATCTTTATTTAAAAATATATTATTTATTTATTTAAATTGTAATTAAACAAATTAGTTATTAATAAATTATATTTAATGTAACATATGTATATTTATTTTAATTACAGTTTTTATAATTAAGAAAAGTTTTATTATTAATTGTTATAGAATTATAATTTTATAAATAGTTATAATGTTAGAAAGTTTGTAAGTGAGTTAATCAGTCAAGAGGGTAAGGTTAGATAACAATGAATTATTCACCTCAAATGCTATTTTCTATATTTATTATAAACAAGCTAATATAAATTATTAGTACAGTACAACTTAATCTTTATTACTGTGGTTGTTTGTATTAAAATGTCAAACAGCAGGTCAACTTTACAACAAATTTATATGCGAGACAATGTATGGATTTTTATTTAATTAACAGAGATAAATATAATTGATAGGAAATGTTCATTGTTAAAATTAGTAAATGCAACTTTCTTTAAACAAAGAAGGTTTATTATAATCAGATATCATCTAAAATGTGCTATAACCAGGGTGGCAATTAGGGGTCGATTTTGGTTTGAGTATAATATTAAATAAACTGTTTTAGAAATTTTAATAATAACATTAATCACTACACATAATGTTTGCATAATTAGTTTATTAAATATAATAACTAATTAACCACACTATGTTACACCATTTTAAAATAAATAAAAGTATATATTTCAATTAATATTAAAATTAAAAGACGATGAACTCAAAACCAGTACTTATCCAGGATAGCTTATCCGTATGACTTTTATAGATTATGAATGTAATTTAATATTGTAAGTTACAGTTTCTTACGCGTGATCGCATGTAATCATAATTAAATACAAATACTTGCTCCGTGTGGGGTCAAACTTAAATTATTTAAACCTGATGGCGCAATTGCAATATGGAAAATACCATTATTATTTTAATATAAATAGCAGCGTAAAACTCAATTGAACATTACAACAAACTTCAACTATTAAATAACTTACCAAGTTAAGCTACTATTAAATAATCAGTCAACATGTTGATGAAATTGGCACTATTGACCATGGTGGTGTGCGCCGTTCAGGGCAACACTGTTAACCGATTGCTGGCCAGCATTGGCACCGATGCTAACGATGCCAACACATGTCTCTTAACACTGTTCACCGGTCACTGTCAACGGGAAATTAAGCCCAGCCAACAGGAGGCCTACTATTGCTGTGTGTTGTGGGATGAGCTAGATTGTTTCAAAGCCCACTACAAGGTACAGTTAATTATAGCAATATAACCATTGAATTACTTGCTATTATTTGCTACTTGTTATACGAGTATTTCAATTTATTTAGTTTGTTATTGAGTATAATTCACTATTAGTTTAATGTATAAGAAATTTACTTATATTATTTTGATCAGTTTAAATTTATTAATAATTAATAATAAATAGTTGCAGTGATAATTAAGTAATTTAACCATTGTTATATTAAATATGTTGTTTAGGCCGACTGTACGCCAGCCGATGCCGCAGAGCTCGAGAAAGACTGGGCTACTATTCAGCTGACAATCGCCGGTCAGGTTTACAGCGAGCCCTCGTGTACTGCCGATCACTATGGCGTCGATGTGAGCAGGGACGTTTGCAAAGTCACTGTTTAAATGTAATATTGTAAATAAAAATTTTATATGATCTATTTTCAGAATACAATTAACTAACAATTAAGTAAACAGTATAATTTGTTGTAATTGGATTTTATGAATGCTTGAAAATTAAATATCTTATATTATATAAATTTTACAAGCATTGTTTAAAATAATTTTTATAAATAAATAAACTTTTGCATACAAACTGTGATTTATTTTACTTTACATGTCTATAGTAAGTGACATATTTTAAGAAAAATATAATCTGGAGTATGCATATAGTACTTGTATTTTTCTGTATTATTTTTGAAATATTTAAAATAAGTTTATAAATGTAAATATAAGTATCTTGTTATTTAACAAGCTGACCTTAGACATGTAGATCAAACCTTGGTTGTTGAGGCGAGGTGTCCTTGTCCATTAGCCTCGTTACTAACGAGATTAGTGGCCAGTGCACCGGTTAGTTGCTAGTTACTAAAAACTTTTAATTTTTATAAGATTTTTACAAGCTAAAACAGCATTGTAAAAAGTTACAAAAATTAAATAGATATATTTGAAACAAAAGTATTTTATTAAAAGTTATTTATATAGTTTTAAATTATGTATAACTTATATAATTATATAAACCGTATTTATATTTCTTTAAATATATTATCTTATTTAATAATAAAATATAATAAACAATTTTGGACTAATGACCTGATGAGTTACTATAGCGAAAATTTTATATAATTTTATTACTTAAAAAATTTAATGCTAGTTAAATACATTTTGAATTATTTAATCAATGCAAGAATTATATTTAATTTAAAATAAAATTATATAACTTTGTAATCATATAAAAATACAGATTTAATCTGAAGTAATAAACTGTAACGCAATTGATATGTACACTTTATATATATAATTTTAATATCTAATTAAGTTTAATGGTTACAGTTAAAATAACAATATTTTACCTTAATTAAATTAAATACTTAACAACAGTAGTACACTTTATATTTTACATTACATCATACACTATAATGTAAATGTAATATTACATTTAATATGTAAGTCAATATATCTTGAGTTTCGCATTTATGAATAAATGTTTGACAATAATAAATAATTTGATCATGGAATTTGAGTGTAAGATTCAATATCAATGTCTAAATGTGACAATTTGTTAGATAGTTATATAAGATATGAGACATTTAATTAAAAAAACAATAAATTCTTAAAAATATTTTTTGAGAAAATAAAATTTTTAGTAAAAATACAAGTTGTATAAAAGTTTGTACAAATGTTTACTCAAAAATAAAACTCCTAGATAGACTTCTAGCTTGATTATTATACATTTCATTAAAATTTAATGCAATTAAATTAAGTAATTTTAAAATTTAATATTTTTATTAATTTTTAGTATTGATATATAATTGCGTTAATTATGCAATTATATAAAATATATTTATATTATTTTAAACATTTAAGCTTATTAAAGAATTATATATAATTATTAATCTGTAATGTATGACCTGATTATTTATTAAATTGCTAATATTTTATAATTCAAAAATCTTAAAATTTACTACAATACTTGTTAATACAATATAATAAGTTACAAGAAAATACACATTTTACATTTGTTATCAATATTCATTATATTAATTTTAAGATTGCAAACTGTAGACAAATTTATTATATTTTAAAAATATTAACTAATATGGTTGTTTTAAATTTACTGGCTTACTATTGCTCACCAATTATTATGCTTGTCTTAAAATTTTTTGTTTTAAATATTCCTGTATAATAACTAATGATTAAATTTTTTATATATTTATATTTAAATAACTAATTAACCACACTTCGTTACACAATTTTGAATTAAATATAAAGCATACATTAATGTAAATTATTTGTTATTAATATTGTAAAGTTACAATCAATATTAAAATTAAAAGTTGGTGAATTTCAAATCAATTTTGTTTTTAATTTCAAATTTTATTGATTATTAATGTAATTTAATATTGTAAGTTACAGTTTATTAAGCGTGCTTGCCCGTAATCATAATTAAACACAAATACTAGCTCAGTGTGTGGTCAATCACACATAATCAATGTAGTAAGTAGACAACGCAATACATACACCATGCCTACTACATAACGTATTAATAATAGTAACATAATCTAACTCTCCTAACGTTACAATATTTATACATAACTAATTTTGACCTCTACACTCACATTTCACCCTTCCCTATACAAATATTTCACCTAGTATATAATTCAATTTATTTAGTTTGTTATTGAGTATAATTTACTATTAGTTTAATGTATAAGAAATTTACTTATATTATTTTGATCAGTTTAAATTTATAATTAATTAATAATAAATAGTTGCAGTGATAATTTAGTAATTTAACCCTGATTATACTAAATATGTTGTTTAGGCCGATTGTACGCCAGCCGATGCCGCAGAGCTCGAGAAAGACTGGGCTACTATTCAGCTGACAATCGCCGGTCAGGTTTACAGCGAGCCCTCGTGTACTGCCGATCACTATGGCGTCGATGTGAGCAGGGACG